TTTATGTAAACCAGTGTAATTAAATAACATTTTAATAGAAAATAATTATTAATTTGTTTTGTGAAAACTTAAAAGTTAGAAATATTTCGAAAATGATGCAAAATTTCTATAAGTTTCATTAAAAGTAAACCTATATAATTTTTGCTTTAAATAATAATTTTTTAATCACAATAGTTTTAAATAATGTGTACCACCTTTTACACTAATTCGAGGATTCGGTTTTTCATATTTTTTAATAAATTTTTTAAACGAACTTTTAAAATATAGTTTCATGCTTGTTGGATAAAAGTTTCAAATTCTTGCATCGTATAATACTGTAGAGAATTTCCATATATAGTTTGTTCCAATATTCTTCATAAATTTTAAATAAATTTTTATATAAGAGTTATAATTATCCAATGTGTAGAACTAAGCTTGTAATTTTTTAATGTAAATGCAGTTTTCATTTACATTTTTTTTAAAGAGATTTTTTGATATCAGAGATTATGTACTTTTATATAGAAAACCCAATTTGTTTCTACGTGTAGCGGTCTTGTTCGTCAAGGTTTGTGTTTCAAAGTTCAGAAGGAGAGCGACAACAAATATACTTGTTTTGATAAGTAGCCTTTTCAATTATAGTGGCCCCCTCGGTCTCGAAAGGTGAATTAAGTATGAAGTGAAAAGTGCGGGTTTTTAAAAAAGGGTGGGTGCTAAAAAAAGAAAAAAAATACAACGAGATGGTTTTCAGTAATTTCAAAATACTTACCCGTTCAATCTGTGGCGTAACTAAAAGAAGCACAACCCAACAAAGCAAGGGGTTCCTAAGCAAAGGGGGCCACGCGGAGATATACGAATCTTAATATATTTTATTTGTAATTTTTAGCTATAAAGATTTTTTAGATATAGTTAAAACTTGAACTGAAATTTCTTTTAAAATTTCGAAAAGAGATCCACAAACTAAAGGTCTGAGCTTATTGATGATGAATGAAGACAGAGGCGGATCCCTAAGGTGGGGGGGTCATTTAGGGCGATTGCCCCCCCCCTTACAATAGTAGTTTTATTTTTTTTCAGCATTTTATTAAAAATTATAATTAAAAGTTGTTGATATACAATTTATTTAAATGCTGCAATGTTTAGTTTGTTTTGTGTAGTAGTGTTCTAGTAAATGTAAAACAATATATATTACAAAATTTACCCTAGTAGCAAACAATATTGGCGCAATAATGGGGCGATATTGTTCACAATATTAGAAACTATATCGGGCCAATGTTGCAATGTGAACATTTTGCCAATATTGGCCAATATTGGCGCTACAATATTGCGCCAATATTGTAAAGTCAATATTGGCCAATATTTGCAAAATGTTCACATTGCAACATTGGCCCGATATAGTTTATAATATTGCGCCAATATTGTAAATAATATCGCGCCAATAATGGGGATAATATACTAGCCAATATTGGTCTAATATAGTTTACAATATTATTCTGATATATATAATATATATAACTAAATTAAGGCAATATATTGAGCATTTTTGATTAAATTTTAATTTTTTAAAATTATAAAAAATATTGCCTTCTACAAATTTGTAATAATTAAAAATTATAACAGTTTTTTTGTTTAAGTGATACTATAGTACTAGGCTTCATTATTCTTTTGAGTTAAACAGGTTATAGTCTATGAGATGACAATAATCATAGGACACGCTTTAAGAAAAAAAAATTCGAAATCATTAAATTTATTTAAAGTTATATGAAACAGATACAAATAAAAAAGAGGTATAGAGTTTTCCAAAACTAAAATATAACAAAATAAAATCAATACTATTTAAATACAGGTACATAAAATATGCATATATATATATATATATATATATATATATATATATATATATATATATATATATATATATATATATATATATATATATATATATATATATATATATGTATATATATATATATATATATATATATATATATATATATATATATATATATATATATATATATATATATATATATATATGTATATATAACTACTGTATTATAATCTCACTATGAGATAGTGGGCATCGACTTTCATTTTTTTTGGCGATACTTATTTCATTGCTCAGTTACGGTTCTATTTTTCTTCCGTAATCTGTATTAATGGCCGTCGCCAGAAAGCTGCCAATTTTTTCTTTAATACTTTTGTCAGTAGCGATTTCGAAATGAACGAATACAGCGATAAACGCAATTCTAAAAAATGTTTTTTCAATTTCATCACAATATAGTTTTGAAATATATAATAATTTTTCACGTATAAATGTTGTAAAATAATTAGCTTTTATTAAAATATTTATTTATTAAAAGGAAATGGGATGTAGAATACAAATATTGTGCTTTACCTATAACGACCTTGCAGGACGTTTTTGTTTCCTTCCATACACTGAGAATGAAAAACATACTTCTTTGGTCATTAGCTGTAAGATTGCCGCTGTAAGTTGTTTCTCATCTCCTCCAACCGAAGTAAGAAAGTTCATCTAAAATAAGAAAACAAATGTAATATAATTGGTTGTACTAAAAGTATAATGGTTCCTCATGTGTATGTATTAGACGGTTTTACATAATGTTATTCTTATTAAAATATGACATGATGGAAGAGTAAAAGCAATTGGTTATAAATAGATTTTGACATCTGTAGCGGTGAATACACCCTACAGATGTCATAGATATCTGTGATTAGCAGTCTTTGCCACACAAAATACATTGCTAACTGGGCATAAAAAATGAAAATCACAATAAAATGTAATAAGCATTTATATAAAACATTCTGATATACAACATAATTATAGTCAATCGCGTATCATGTTGTATCATTTGTTTGTATGTTTCATATAAATGTATCATATATTTTAAAAATTAGAAACTTTAATAGTACATGGTACTGTTTCGAAAAACTATTAACTAATATCAATTCACTGATATATACTATTGATTTATAAGGTGTCTTTGTTCCGTCATTTTTCTTCGAGGTTTAGAAGATCTTTTTTCCTCTATAACCAGATAAAAAATTCAATAAATTCAAAGAGATAGTCAAGCAAAGCTATGACGGAATCACTTAACCCTAAAACACTAAAGATTTCTTCAATCTTTGAGAAACTGAGAGACAATCTCATCAGTGTCACTTTTTTTGTAACCTGCATCCTTTTAAGCTGGAGGCACAGATAATTCCGTTCTAAAGCAGTCTCATAATTGTCAAAAAAAAGTATAAAGAAGAGATGAAACCATGCTAAACAATCAACATTTACTATATTTATACATAGCTATTTAGATAAAAAACTATATATAGCTGTTTAGATAAAAAACAAAGACAATACTGTAAATAAAACAATTACCAAAAAATTTTTATTTTTAGCTTTTAGTTACTTTTAAAAGCGAGACTTTACGTATGGCAGCCTGAAGGCAAGATGCTTGCAAGTGATTTGGCCAATACACCAAACTTTCATTGATCCGTCATGAAAAACAGATTACATTCATGGCACACATTGTTTTTTCATTGAAAAATTCAGCCAGAGCAAATTTTGTAAACTTTATTACCACCTTCAGTTAAAATCAGCTAAAAAATAATCACTTCTCTTAATTTATCGAAGCGCGCAGTTCAAAATTTTGTCGTTAAGGTGGTAGACCACTATTAAAAATCAAAAAAAATCATTTTTTCAATTTTTATTTTTTCAAATGACATAGCTATCGTATAATACGAATTTCAAGTTAGTTTTATGAAAAAAAAAAGCTAACACCATTAAAAAACTATTTTTTAATAAAGCGGTATAAGTAAATTTTTTTTATTTTTCCATAGCAACGCTTTGTTTATTTCGTTGCTATACAACTAAAAAGGAAATTGTATCATAATTATACTGTAAATTTTTAATATAAAATACTACACCTTTTCTGGATCAATTTAAAAGGAATACGAATCAATTTAAAAGGAATACGAATCAATTTAAAAGGAATACGAATCAATTTAAATGCGCATATAAGAATGAATAAAGGCGCATATAAAAATGAATAAATGCGCATATAAGAATGAATAAGGGCGCATATAAGAATGAATAAGGGCGCATATAAGAATGAATAAAGGCGCATATAAAAATGAATAAATGCGCATATAAGAATGAATAAAGGCGCATATAAAAATGAATAAATGCGCATATAAGAATGAATAACCCTGTAAGACCATGGTAGTTAAATTTCAGCCTTTGGATTGCCGCATAAGTATCAAGTTGCATTTTTTGGACTCCCATGTTGACTACTTTCCTGAAAAGCTTGGTGCATATTGTGAAGAGCAGGGTGAAAGGTTCCATCAGGACATTTGTGCAATTGAGAATCGATACCAAGGTCGTTGGATTATGAATATTATGGCCGACTATTGTTGGTCATTAAAACGCCATAATCCTGGTGCTGCTCGAAAGCAAAAATCACTCAAAAGACAATTCACTCAATAAAAGACAATACATAAATGCTTTTATATTATGCTTTTGTATTATGCTTTTGTTATTAATTTAGTAAATACCAATAGTTTTCTGCATGACCGAAGTACATTTTGTTGCTGGTTTTGTTGAATTTTTTTACAATAATAAATATCGAACAGCAAAAACTCCTAACTTGATACGAAAAAGTTAGATTACATACTTGGAATCAGCATAAACATTTGTGTAAGAAACACCTATTTGCAAATCAGCAGTTTTCACAAAATGAAAATTTGTAGACCAGTGTTATCTATTCTTAATAATTATTGCAATAAACAAAAAAAAAAAAAAAAAAATACTTCCAACATTCATTTATATGTATTATAAAAGAAATTATAAGTGAAACTATGGAAATTTCGCTGTATATATATATATATATATATATATATATATATATATATATATATATATATATATATATATATACAACAAAAGCAGTAGCAACAAAAATCACATATATTATTAGTAATAGCAACAAAAAGCACTTATACTTTTCAAACAAAAGCACTTATATTATTAGTTTTGGATTGATAAAATGCTTTTTTCTGCAAATAAACAGAATTGCAATAACTACCGAAATGACAATATACAATGCTCCAAACATTGTAACATAATCAAAAATGAACGCGGAGAAAGAAAAAGCCATCAATGCTCCAGCAGTGAAACTTGAAGATCGAACACTGTCTACAAATGTCAGAACATTTGAATTTACCATTTTAGCGAGCGTACTTACAAAATAAACATCTGTAATTATAGGCGCACCTGCATAACTTGTCATATAAACAATACTCATTAAAATGTTCAAAGCTTTGTTGTCGGGAATATATGAAAGAATAATGAAACCAGCGCTAACGATGCAAAAACCTACTAAGCTTAAAACTGTTACTACCATCATCTTTTCATCAGAAAACGGTCTAAATATTATTCCTATCAACAAGATTGCGCAGACTCCACTTACTCCAAAGTAACAGATATTTATTTCCGTCACCGAAAGGCTCATTTTCTCAATAATTAATAGCGGTAGCCAAATATCTGTGTTAATGAAAAAAAAAGCTATAAAAAAGTTTGAAAACAAAACCAGTGCTGAATCAAAGCTAAAAAACAATACTTTTAAAATCTTTATTACGCTATGTTGGTTTGAATTTATTGGTTGAAGTACTGCTGTTTTAAGTATATCATCAATATTTAATTCATTTATTTTATTAATTGAAGAACTGTTTTTATCTAGGGATTTGTAATCAAGCTCTTTAGAAATATCATACACCATTGTCATAGTAAGAATCTCCATAATAAAACATAAAATACTCAAAAAAATCCCAGGAAAATTTACGTATTGTAAATGCCAATCACCTATAAAAAAGTATATATTCTTAAAAAAGAAGTTTATGCCCGGGCCTAGCATGAATCCAAAGTATACCATCACTGATAAGACTGATAGCTTTGAATTTATTTCATTTGCTTGGTAACTGCGAATCGTTTCGCTGTAAATAATAGATTTTAATGCTCCGCCAAAGCCAGATATAACTCTTCCTCCAATTAAAAATAAGGGTGAAAAAGGAAGACTGTAGATCACATTCCCAATAAGCATATACATATTGCATATTAAAAAACAAGTATTGATGTTTCGACGCCTATCAACATATCTTCCAACAAACGGTGTTGTTATAGTAGATGTAAACATGCATGACACGGAAACAAGACCATAAATTAGTTTTGGATTATTTGTGATAATCATTTCCTTTATATACGACCATAGTGTTACTATGGTAAGACTCCATTCCATTCCGATAATAACCATTTGAATTGAAAACACATTAAAAGTATATTTTCTTTTCTTCAACCATTTCTTGTGCTTCTAAAGTAAAGTTTAAATTTATAACATAACAGTAAAGCAATAAGTATCATTTATTACTTATTTTTATACTGTTGTATAAGTAATATTTAGGAGTTAGTGAGTATTAACCCTTATAAAATATAACTCAAAGATAAGAAATATTTATTTAAAAATATTGCATAATGGCGTCAAATTGTAAGTGCTACCTAAACGAGGTAAAATAATATACTTTGAATTATCAAACAAACCAAGAACCTTGAAATTTTTTTGACTTTAAAGTATGTTTAATTATGCTATTTTAAAATAACTATAATGTTGAGATTTTTAGATTTAGATGTGTTATTAGTTTTTAAAGCAGCATTAATTGATATTTTGGAAAAATATTTTTCAGACATGGAGCAAATTTCAAACTTAGATGTATAAATGCCTTTACTAAATGAGAATAATTTTCAAAAAGTTTATGTGATTAGAGCCTTGGAGAAGCAAAACTTAAAAAGATGTGCATACCTTCTCCTCGAACCCTAATTGTGAAGTTTTTCTTTATTTTTATTTCAAGCAAAGATTATACGCACTCGTAGATATCGAATTTTATCATAAAAGATTTTAGTATTTGAAAATTATGACAATGTAAAGTTTAATATTAAAAAAAAAATACTCAAGAGAAGTTGTAGTGATTTTCTGAAAATTGAAATTCGTTTCTGATCTATTTAATTACAAATTTTTTTTTAGCTTTTAATAATATACAGTTGCGAAAAATTTTTCTAAAACAAATCATTATGGGAAAAAAACTGCTTGGTGTTCCTCGATTTTAATCAAAAATGCCTATTCTGACCAAAAACTAAAATAGCACTACACACTCTTTTGTTGTAAAGTACGCTGATAACGGTAAAAATAATTGTAAAAATAGCAAGCGTTGGGTTGTTTTTTTTTGCTATTTTATTCGTTTTACGTTAGTGCGTATTAGTAGGAGACATTTACATACAAAAATGGGATGGGGAAAGCATTGTAGTGCAGAAAAACGTAAACTGATCCGAAAATTGATATCAGCAGGGAAATCCTATAAAGAAGTTGGTCGTGTAGTTGAATGTTCCCATAAAATGATAAGAAATGCCATAAAATTTCAAGAAAAACCTGAAAAACGTGGTCAAAAACGTTCTATTTCAACATTGCTGAC